GCTCTTTCAGTACAGAAATATTCCCTAATATCCAGTGTAACCAGGGGCTGGATCCGTCCTGCTCCCCTCTAACCCCACCACGGTGTCTGTGAGGGATTTTGCTCTCCTGGCCATGGCTGAATCAAGGTGTGCAGGGTCCCAGCCATGAGCAGGGGCTGTGTGGGGTGGGCTGGGTTCATGGACTGGGCCACCAGCATCGCATGGAAGCTTTTCAGTCATTTGTCAACCAAAAAATGGTCATTGATGGAAAGCTGAACTTTCTGAGGGAAAGTCACAGCGGAGGCCTTCAGTGTGGGAACAGTTCGGGATGAGGTTTTGAAATTGCCATAATGTCACGTTTTGATGGTTTTTAGAGTGAAAAAGCTGAGTCCTCTAAATAAAGAGACCTTTTCATTTGAAACCAAGGCTCAAGGAAATGTTTCTTTCTCTGGGTTTTCTCAAGATTTGCCTTTCCCTTTCAAGAGAGGGAAAAGTTCCTGAAGCATGAAATGTTTCCAGCAATGGGAGCACCTCTGGTGTTTGCTTCTTCCCAATCAAATTCCACCAGATTATACCCTAATAATAACATCTGTTGCAGGTGGGTCCTGTGATAGTATTTGCAATCAGACTAAAAATCCCGTTATCCTGTGATAGCAGGAGATGCTCACTCCCTTCATCCTGGGTGTTAGCAGTGCCATCGAGCCAGGAGTCAGGCTGGATTTCTGATGCCTTCTGTGTAACCTTATTTATTTACAGTTCTGGAGGAAGCTGTGATTTATTATCGTTATACCGAAGCAGACAAGGAGCTGCCCTGCCGGCAGTGTCACCACGGGTCCCCATCCCGAGCGGGTACCACGGGCTGGGACTGGAGCATCATCAGGCGATGCGCAGGGTGCAGGGCAATCAGCTTTAAAATGATGATTTATTTATTTATTTATTTTCAGTCAACGCTCCTGATGAATATTTCAGATGCAAAGGAATAGCATGCATTAATTATTGCAAAGAGATGTCTTTAGGAGAAAATGATTTTGAAATTCAGTTTAATTTCATTGTAATGCGCTGCAAACAGGAAGGGAGTATGTGTGTTTAATTGGCTCTCGGGGGTAAGGCCGGGAAGATGGCATGCCTTTGTCACAGGCCATTAGTGATACAGACTGCATAATGAGAGAGTACAATCAGCTCACAGCTGCCGGCTCCTACGGGGAGAGAATGATATTAAATAGAAATCAGGATAAATTAAACTTAACCCTTTCCCGTTCCCCCGCTCTCTGCCTTTCGTGCGTTCCTCTCCTGACCGCTCGCTCCATCTCTTGTGGATATTGGCTGGTTTTTTCCCAAGCTTTGTTTGCCCCTTGCTCATCTGCCTGTCCCCGCTGTGGTGACAGCCTTTGGGGATGGCAAATGTCCCTGGGGTGGTCAAAAACCACTTCAGGGAACAGAGGGGGTTGTGTCCCAGCACAGTGACTGGGATCTGAGGGGTGAATTACCCCCACTGAACAGCAATGGGTCACTGTGACCATATTGGCCGAATAAATCTGGCCACTACCAGGCTA